GACGAAAAACTCTTCGAGGTAGCCTTCAGCAATACGCACGTTTCAGGCCCGGCAGTAGCCGCAGCACCTGAGCTCATGAAAGCCATTGTTGAGGCTTGTGATGTAGCTATGGTGCGCCAAAACCGGCATAAAGCTCGCAAGCCAGCCTACTGGTGGAACGACGAGATAGCCGCGTTACGAACACAATGTAACCGTGCCAGAAGAGTTTGCCAGCGCTCACGAAACACAGAAAATGCTACTCATCTCCGGATGGACTATAAGGAAAAGCGAAAGCTGTTTAAGAAAGCTATCTATGACAGCAAAAAGCTAATGTTTAAAGACATCTGCTATGAACTGAACAGCAACCCTTTCGGGTTTGCTTACAAACTTGTGCTCAAAAAATTTAAGCATACAGTACAGCCAACATGCCCCACGCTCCTTGCACAAATCATACACGATCTCTTTCCCGCACATACAACGTTCACGCGGGAACTCTGTGAGGAACCTACTAGTACCGTCCCGGAGGTAACGGTAGAAGAGGTCACAAGTGCGGGAGGCGAGATAGCCGTTAACAAGGCACCAGGACCTGACGGAGTACCAAACGTAGCCCTAAAAAAGGCGATTGCTTGCAATCCGGAAGTATTTGCCAGCGTCTTTACTTCATGCCTTCGCGAAGGAATATTCCCAAACATATGGAAGCTCCAGAAGCTGGTACTCATACCAAAGGTCCAAAACCCTACTTCTTCTGCTGGATATCGCCCACTGTGCATGCTGGACTCAACCGGTAAGGTACTCGAGCATATTATAAAACGTAGACTCGAAGAGGCCACAGAGATTCATCTATCTAAAAACCAATTCGGCTTCAGAAAAAGGTGTTCAACTACAGACGCAATCGATGTAGTTAAAGCAATCGCTGAAAAGGCCATTGCTGGCAAGCGGTGGTTGGGTGGTACTAAGAAATATTGCCTGGTTGTCACCCTTGACGTCAAAAATGCGTTTAACAGTGCGAGCTGGAAGGAAATTTTAAATGCCCTCCGCGCCTTAGAGGTGCCAACTTACCTGCAGGCAATCATTTCCAACTATCTTTCGGATAGAATTCTTCGCTATGACAGCGAAAAACAAACGACTGACAAAGTAGTATCATCCGGCGTGCCCCAGGGATCGGTACTAGGACCCCTCCTGTGGAACGTCATGTACGATGGCATCCTGCGACTAAAAGTCCACAAAAGCGCAACGTTTGTAGGTTTCGCGGACGACGTATCAATCGTGGTGGAGGCCAAAACACTCAGAGAAATTACAGACATTGCGGAAGCCGCAATAACAGCAGCCAAGCAATGGTTAAATGCTAAGGCGCTAACGCTAGCAGACCACAAGACCGAGGCTGTACTTATAAGCACCCGTAAGAAAGTTGAAAAGGTTGTACTTAGAGTAGGAGATAGCGTTATAGAGTCGAAACCATATGTGAAGTATCTTGGCGTCCTTATAGATCATCGCCTATGCTTCCGTGACCACTTAGAGTATGCTAACCAAAAAGCTGCGGGGACGGCAGCCGCTCTTTCTCGGTTAATGGCGAACATCGGCGGGCCAAGACAGGCGACAAGGCAAATCCTAGCAGCAGTGGTGACATCCATACTCTTATACGGGACAACGGTCTGGAGTAACGCCTTCAAGCGCCCTTCGTATACTCGGGGTATTAGGGCTACGCATCGTCTCTGTGCTCTTAGAGTCTGTTCAGCTTTTAGAACAGTATCACAAGAAGCAGCCCTTGTTATAGCAGGCCTATGCCCACTCGACCTCGTGGCTCAAGAAATGAGCGACACAAGACAGGCAAAGCGTGACCAAACACACGCTGCCGGAACCGTGGACAAAAATGCACTGAGGCAGCGCAGCATATCCCAGTGGCAGAAAAGATGGGAGAAAGCGTCGAACGGTAGGTGGACTTATCGGCTTATCACGAACATTGGCGCCTGGGTGGAACGACAACACGGTGAGGTAGATTTCTACCTCACACAAATTCTGAGCGGGCACGGATGCTCTAAGGCTTATCTCCACCGCTTTCGACATGAAGAGGACCCATATTGCGACCACTGCGGACAAGCCGCTATTGAAGATGCGGAACACGTATTTTTCGCATGCCCCCGATTTAGCGCGCTGAGGAGCAGACTTAATCAAGCGCTAGGAATAAAGGCTTCCCCAGGAAATCTGGTCCCACTAATGTTGAAAAACGAAGAAGCATGGAAAGAGGTATGCAGCATGGCTGCTCAGGTGATGCAACAGTTGCGTACCAGTGAGCAGATGAGGCGCAGACACCAACGACAACAGCAAGAAGGGAATACTATCAACGCGATAGCCTCGATATAAGCAACGAGCCCATAAAGCCCGCCACATGAAGGGATAAGTGGCGGCACGGAACAAAAGGCGGCATTTTCATCGCATCCCTCCCCGTGAAGTAATGCCTAACGGTGGTCCCGCGGGGGGCGGAAAGTAAACAGGCTTATCCTGGTTTCGTTGGGCCACTTGAGGGTAGTGCGCTACCACAACGTCCAAAGAAAAAAAAAAAAAAAAGACATATGTATGTACTTGTATATGCCCACAATCTTCTAAGAAATGCTGTACTTGTGCAGAGGCATTTCAAGGTGAAGTTGTGTAAAATGGCCTGTGTAGGCTGTGTTCTATGTAGCCTATTTGAATCTATGAACATACGAGTATACAAACATATATACATACATACATACTATGTCAGTAATAATGAATGTAGATATTTTTTAGTAATACATAAACAACTTTTCTTAATAATAATATTTCACCTCTTGGTTGCTCTCATTTCTTTTCAGGTATATATTTTGGCTTAACGGACTTGAATACTGTATCTTATTGGGTGACTGCAGGTAAATGAATTGTTTTTTATTTGGCTGCTTTTGCTCTTATGGTTTCTAAAATGCCTAGATATTCATACAACGAACTTTTATGGCATAATTTGTTTGATTATCCGCTGGTCCTTTGGCTAAATCAAAATACAAATTAAGCTACTTTCTCCAAAAGCTGTTTCATTTTGCTCTTAACGAATATTTTATTGTGCGTTTATAGGAGAAATCAGTTCATCTTTTATTTGAATTTAGCCAGCCAAAGGATCAGCGGAACATTGAACGAAGTTATAAGCCGTAGCGTGACGGAAATTTATAAAAAAATAAAAAATAAAATTAGAACCGAAATTTGTAATTTAAGGATAGTAGAAACGCATTGTTAATGTCACTTTGCTGTTTGTGAAAGCCGTCAAGTTGATATAAAATAAAAATAATTTTCACTTCATTTAAATAATATTTCAACTCAAAATATTACCTTCGCCACAAGCAAAGAAGAAACTATTTTCAGTGACGTGGGCATACATAGACAACAATTCAAGTAGAGTGTTTGCATAAAAAGATATGTCTGAAGAATGTGATGACTCGATCGGTCATGAACGGAAGCCACCGAAAAATTTGTTACAAGATTCAAAAACGAAGTCGTTTCCAGCCGAATCTGTGTGAGTAGTCTTTTAAAAGAAGGAAAAAATGTGAACAAATCACTTTGGAAGATCTATGGATTATTATTTTCCTTTAGAGACATGGATAGACATAGGCACATACATAGCTGTGCAACTAATAGTCAGAGATATTTTTTTCCAAACAGTTAGCTTTAGGCCCCAACTAAAGATGCAGTAACCATAACTTTGTCAAGAATTCAGAGCTGCTTATGGTTATGGCGAAAAACCAAAGCACAACAGATACCTGCAGGTATATGGTTATGGTTACGGCTATGGCGTTATGGTATGGAACCAATAATCGTTTACAAAGCTGCCTATACGTTGAAGAACGCCATATTCTCAACAAATGGTTCAGAAACGCGCTATCTCAGCTGCCGATATATTGAATTTACATTGAGATATGCCGTTCTTCAACCAAATTCTAAGATAAGGCATTCTCCGCCGTTATGTAAATAGGGAGTTTTTGAACCTGCTGCCCAGATAAGCCAAAGGACATAGTGACGCGACAAAGAGCGACAAGACATTTTCGGATAATAGCGACAAAAAGAAACCTTTATTTTTCAATGTAACAGCACATAGTGAAGCGAAAAGCGAAGAAAACGACAAAGAGCATAGCGACGAAAACAAAAAAATTTGTTTTCGTTGCTTTCTGAGCTGACAGTTGCTTCACTATGTTTTTACGTTTCTTGTCTCTTTCTTCGCTATTATCCGAAAATGTTTTGTCGCTCTCTTTGCCGCGTCACTATGTTCCTTGCCTAAGTCGATCTTCCACTCAGCCGTCAATATGGACCAGGAACGAGTAGGGACAACCTTTATGCAGAGTTCGTTCATTTAGATCACTCGTTCGTTCACTGTAGAGCTTTTACTCTGAACGAGTCTATACTAAATTTAAATGAAGAGGAAGATCTTGAATATTTAATAAACGATATGCAGAGAGAACTTTTACTTTGCTCACGTTTACATCAACGATGACCAGAGAGAACGTTTACCATCTATGAAAGCTTTTCACGGAATCTGTTGTGGTCGTGACTAGTCTATATGAAATCCGAAGATGGTCCTCCGCAATAACGACACAATTTACAATTGAAAAAATTAAATCTCTTACTACTGTTAAGTGGCTCATATCTCTAATCCTTATCTAATCCATGTCTAATCCTTAACAATTGTGTCGTTATTGGAGAGGACCATCTATATATAAAAAAAGCTATGCAATTTAAATCGTTAACGAACAAATACATAGATATATCTCAGAAAGAGAAACTCGGCCAAACACAGAAAAATGTGTAAGCTCTAAATAATTCGTCGATTTCCTTGCGACTGGCCTAGATGGGGTCTATTGACGTAAAGCTAAAACCAATGGTGCCTTAGTAGAAGTACATAGAAGACAGAGACTGCGTACTAAGTATGGAAATTGTGCATAATCTTGTCTATGGAGTCTACCAGAACGAAAACTGTTAGAATAGTATGGTCTTGCAACAGCTGCATGCATTAGGCTGCCTCTCCGAATGATTTGATGCCCTGCGACTGCCATCCTTTGTGGGCTCCTTGAGTGGGGTGAAGTCCTGGCCCTGAAAGTAAAAAGAG